GTCATGGTTATTTGGGTTTCTGAGCTCTGTTCAAAGTGGGCTTCTAGCAATTATGTTGCTCCTTTTTTGCTCTACTTTTTCTCCGGGTGGCAAAGGTGATTCATTCTGAAACTCTTCGCTGCTGATAAAGAGCAGAAATTATGAATGAAAATGAAAACATGTGACTCACATTTTCAATATGATTTTGATAAACATTATTATAATGAAATGAAAAATACCTGTAATGGCTCTTTGCTTTTTAAATTAAAAAGCAAGTGCAAAAAAGGACATCCCCCATACATCCTCAAAAAATGGATTTGAAATATTTTGGAGAAATCCATAGCAATCGTTATTTTATGCAGAAGTTGATTTCTAAGCAATCTGCCTAATAGCAACTACAGGAGAAAAAGGAAGTGTGCTGAGAAATGGCCTTATTGTTTTTATTTCTTAGCTGTAGTTCTTTTCACTCTTTAAGATGCATCCTATTTAATACTGTTGAGTATTCAATATAGAATTAGTCTGAAATGTTGCCCTCTGGCACGGTTTAGATTGGGAAATTTACAGTTCACATGTGTTGAGCTGCTAATAATATTCATATTTAAAGAAAAACTCAGGCTGTAAATTATTTTCCTTGACTAGGACCCACTATGTACCATGTGCAGCTGCTTGGTGCAAGCTATTAGCTAGAAAACAATCAGTCAGAAGTATCTGTTTTGAATTCCAACTCTTTAAATGGACACTGGCAACTAATTGTCCAAAATAAGTGTTGAATTAAAATATTTTTCTGCCTTTTAGTGAGTCCAAATACATATTATTGTGCTATTATATGAAAATCAGAAAGTTAAACCCAGTGATTATTTAAGGATATAAAGGGGGAGATGGAGATATTATCAAAACCTTTGGATAAACTGGGAAGATGGCAACCCTGATTCTTAGGCTCGGTCTAAACTTAGAAAGTTTTACTAGTGTAACTGTGCTGGCGGGCTGTGTGTGATATTTTACCAATATAGTTATGCCAGTAAAAGCATTGGTATGGATGTGGTTATACCAGTATAATTTATTTCACTTTGCTGAATTGGAATAAGGCCATGTCTGCACTACAGACTTGTGCTGGCATAGCTGTTCAGTCAGGTGTGTGAAAAGGTGTAGTCCCTGACTGACATAGCTCTGCCCACAGAAGTCTGTAGTGTAGACACCACCTGTACTGGGGGAAAAAAAACATTTTTTTTTACTGATCTAGATTGTACAGATGGGGGAATAGTTGTACTATACCAGGAGAAGCATAACTTTGTTGGTGTAGCTGCATTCACGCTAGGAGTACTTTGTCAGTATAGGAATACTAGTATATTATATTGGTAAAGCAATCCTAGCATAGACATAGCCTAAACAATATCAATCTAAGCACTTTCATATGGTTTAACTGCTTGTACACTGGGGGTGGGGTTTGTCTGTTTAACTGTGCCAGCATAGGTAGTCTCTACACTTAAGTTTTGACAAGGCTTTGGAGAGTACTGGTTTTCCCAAGGTTTTCTGCGTCTGAGGGCTTGTCTACACCACCAAGTTTTGTTGACAAAACTTATGTCAACACCCAAAAGTCAACAAAACAAAAATCACCAAAGGGTGTTCACACTTGCTCCCTCTGTCGACAGATCACGTCCACATTGCTCACACTGTTGATGATGAGATCTCCAATGCACCGTGGGTATGTATCCCACAGTGCAGTGTTGTGGAATGGAAGAGCTGATCACTGCGCGAGTTCTTCCACAGCCCCCTCAGCTGCCGAGAGCAGCATCATGAATAGCTCTGTGAGCTCTCCATGCTGAGGAATGGCAAAGCAGCACAGCAGTCTGTCCCCCTCCCCCTGCAGCAGCACTCTGCCTGCTGCTGTGTTCCTAGTGCTGGGCAGAACAGGAGCATTCTAATGATTTGCTCTTTGTTTGTTCCTGTGATGGTGCACAACTCACTGCTGCAGCACCTCCTGCTGGTCGTCTCAGGGAATTAGCATTTCCAGCCTCCCAAGTGCCCTCTGCAGGCCAGTGTCCCACTGCCACTGCCCCCCCCTCCTAGGATCTGGTGCCCTTTGTCTTTGGGGTGCTGCCCCCTGGCAATACCCCTGCAGTCTCAGGGGAGTTTGGACCTGCTGCCTCTGCCTACCCATGGACTGCCCTCTGCAACCCCAGTGCCTAATTGGCCTTCCACTAGACCACAGCCTGGGGGTTTCCAGGCCGGAGCTCCCCAGCTCCCTTGGCCTTCCCCCAGCCCTGCTCCACTCCAGGTACCTTCTCTCAGCTCCCTGCAGCCAGGTCCCTCCCTCTCAAAGCTAGTGAGAGTCTGTCTCTGGCTTGTGGCCCCAGCCCTCTTATAAGGGCCAGCTGGGCCCTCATTAAGCCAGCCATGGCCTGATTGGGACGTGTCCTCCAGCTGAGGCTGCTTTGCCCAACAGCCCCGCTTTTCCTTCCCTGCCACAGTCCTCTGCCCAGGCTGTTTTAAGCCTTTTAAGGTAGGAGTGGGTGACCAGCCCGCTACAGTTCCCCAAAGGGAGCAGCACACAGATACTTTCCGGAGCTTTGAAAGGGGAGGGGCTCATGCCTGCAGGGCAGCAGAGATCAAAACACTGAGCAGAGCAATCAGGGCAGGCATTGTGGGATACTGGCGGAAGCCAGTTCTGTGAACAGAACAATCAGCAGTGTCTACACTGGCTCTTTGTTGACAATAAAGGGAGGGGAAAAGACAAAAGTCTGTAGTAGGGATAGAAGTTTTTGTCGCCAAAACTGGGCATTTTTTGCGACAAAAGTCCCATTGTAGTGTGTACATTCTTGCTGTTTTGTCACCAAAAGGCAGTTTTTGGCAACAAAACTTGGTAGTGTAGACAAGGCCTGAGTCTAGTGGGACTGATACTTGAGCTTAGAAGTGAAATTGACCCATCTAGGTCTATTATACAGGCGTAGCAACAGTGTAATTAATAAGGATTTCTAAAACGTGACAAGGATTCCTGTGGCACCTTATAAACTAACAGACATATTGACGCATGAGCTTTGGTCACCCACGAAAGCTTATGCTCCAATACATCTGTTAGTCAATAAGTTGCCACAGGACTCCTTGTCACTTTTTTACAGATCCAGACTAACATGGCTACCCCTCTGATAAGGATTTCTAAGATATGTAACAAATCTTTATCTAAAGTGGCAGGACATAGAGTTGGAAAACTATAGCAATGTCGCACAAACTTTTATAGGTTAATTTTGCTTTGTAAATTAAAGGTATTAAAACTAATAACGTTTTGTCTAGAGATGAGCATGCTGTCTGCGTATAGTCAAATCCCGGATTCTGACCATAAAGTTGGTAGAGATAGGTAGTGCTGCAAAGGTGATGGCATTAGCTCTCTGTGGTCTGGTCTATATGAAATATAAGACTAGGAGAAATATTTCCATGGGTTCTATTTTGTTTTTGTTTTGAAATTTCAGTGGAAACCCCGCCCCCCCCCCAATAAAATAAATAAAACAAACCCAAACAGTCTTCTGCAACCCAATTAAAGGTCCTAATTTCTTACTGTTGCATTCTGCCTTTGGTAGCACCACTAGATGTAGTTGAGACAGGTCTCTTATTTTTACCTCCATGTTGCCTTAACCTGTTCAGAGTAGACTGGCACGTTGGTTAGATGATGTGCTGGTAAAAGTGCCAAAGACCTGTCTACACTGCAACCTTTGCTGCTGCTGCTGCAACAGTAATGAATTGCAAATCATGCATTTTGCCAGTGTAGATACAGCCTGTGAGGGGGATGGGTGTAGAGATGAGCAAAGTCTTGTTAAGAGTGATACCTGCAGGTTAAGATCAGCATTAATAGAGTCCTGAAGTTAAGCCCTCTACCCAGGAAGTATTTTTTTTACAAGTATTATTTGTAAAAAAGTGAATAGTTGGCATGGAAACAAAGCCTTCATAGAGTTACCCTTAATTTTATGACCCAGTCAGGTTCTCCCTTTCTGGAATGTCCTACTCCATTGAATCTTTACTGCTGGGGTAATGTAGTATGGGGAAAGCTAGTCATTGGGAAGTGGCCAAAATGAGAGAACTGCAAACAAAATGTTATGCAAACACACTTGAGAGGATAGCAGTACAACTGTGTTCTCCTTTCTTCAAGCTAGAGAAACTTGTCCCATGGACAATCTAGTTGTCATAACTTTTTTTAGTAGATCAAATGAGTTCTCTTTTTTAAAAAATAACTCGTGTCCTTCCCTCAAAAATAAAATGGTCTGAGGTGAGTGTAGAACTTCTGGGTAGATTGACCATTTGGTGTGTCTGACCTTAGTCTCCACAAAAAAACCTTGCTGTTTGCTTTGGAAAAGAGCAATTTCCCCATGCTGCACTGGGGTGGGGAGGGTGTGCATAATTAGCTATGTGTACTTTCTCTGAAGTAGGGCGGGGGCACAAATGGTTCAACAGCATCAAAAGTGGAATTTCGAGATGCAGCTGAGTTGGATGACCTGCTTCTGCCATTTATTACAAGGAAGCTGGGGCACTAGTTTTCATTTTCAGCTCTGGGCTGTACATGCTAGCCAATGTGCCTGAGACTACATTCAGGTCTTGCAGCATTCCCAATAGGCAGAAAGAAATACAATTTTGCTTGTCCTGAGTGAGCATCTAACAACCAAAAACCTGTCTTCCTAGTCTGCTCCCTTCACTCTCATGCATGAAACCCTGAATTGGTAATGTATACTGTATAGTCAACAAGTGTGTGTCTGGTGTAAGGTGTTCTGTTCAGCTTGATCTACTGTATTAGTTAATTTTAACAGCAAGGTTGCATTTTTCTCTACATATCAAGTGTTTAATTTGTGGCATTTTTGTACTTGTCTAATGGTTTGTCAGGTCACAAACCACAAATACAAAATTATTTTGGCTTTGACATTTAAACTTTTTTCTTTTATCAGAGATAATTATTTTCACTGCTTTAATATCAGCTGACTGCCTGATACAAACATTGGCAAATTGATTAGATAATTTGAATAATCTTTATTTTTCCACAGCTGCTTTCCTTTTTGGCCTTCATCCTTGAAGAAATTGTGGAGAGTTGTATCCTGTGTGGTGGGCTTTATTTCTTTGAGTTTATAAGCTTCAGTGCCACCTTTCTGAGTCTCCTGATATTGATTGTGTATTGCACCTCTGCATATGATAAAGTTGAGAAGGATAGATTAAGAACATTGGTAAGGAACTGCTTTATTTTTAATTATTTTCGCTTCTAAATGTTAAGGTGTTTTTTGTTAAAGCAATTTAAGTTACATAACTGTTCTGTCCAGACAATATATACTATTTGATAACAAGACTGCACAATGTTAACTGAGTTATCTTCTTTATATTAGCAACTATTTACACATTTTCACGTTGGCTACGGTGAGATACAGAGTTTCAGCTCTGGGCTGTGGACTGGGAAGATGACAGCTTGTTTTCCAGGAAAGCTGATTGCTTGTTCTAAACCCGGGATAAATGACCCAGTGTTCAGACCAAAGCAGGTGTTTCTCCTCTGTGTGCCCCTTAACTAGCTGAGTAGCATAAAGAGCATGAAGAAAGGGGTTAACACTGCTTGAAAAGTCACTTGACAATATGAGTCCGATGCCAGTGAATCTCCTCCCTGCATATTACTGTGGGTGAGGGAAGGCACAGTGGATTTTAGTATTTTCCAATTTTATGTATCCGGACATACAGTAAAGATTTTCTTATGTGTGATAATAGGTTTAGTTAAGGATCAATACGCATGTTTTATTTAACAGAAGTTCTCTTGAGCACGTGTGCGCATCTCTTTTGTTACAGCTAGGCTTAATAGATTTTTAAGTCTGCAAGGAACCATTATGAACAATTAATCTGACCTCCTGCATAACACAGGCCACATGATTTTACCCTGTAATTCCCATGTTTGCATTTCTGGCTCTGCAGGAGATTGCCATGTCCGTTTCAAGATCATTTTTGTAAAGTGAGGTGGGATTCCTTTGGTATGAAAAGACATAAATAAAATCAAATTCTGTTCCTAAAGGGGCTTTCCTGTGTTTTCTCGTCTCCGATAAAATAAGCAAAAAGAGTTTATAGAACTTCTAAAACAAGAAGTGCAGGTTTTTTCCCTGGTATTGCATTAAGAAGTAAAAATGAGTAGAGGGGAAGAACAAGTCAGAACTCACAAAATGTAAGACCAGGAGAAATATTTCCATGTGTTTTTGTTTGTTTTGTTTTTAAATTGCAGTGGAAACTCCCCCCTCCCCCCAAAAATCAAACATTCTTCTGCAACCCAAACATGGCTACACTGAGAACCTGTAGTGAAAAGTAAATTAGATTACTGGGAATTCTTATAATCTCTTGTGCTAGTGGCATGGGTAAGATGTGTGTTTAATGAGATTTTTAAAAGTGACTGTCCTTCTCAATTAAAATATAAACGAGTCGTCTCCACCACACATGAACACACATGCCCATCTGAAACTCATTCTACCTCCCTTTCTGGGGTTTTCCTTTATTCTTAACTTAAAACAACAAATCTAAACTTTCACCTGAGTTTTCCTCTGAACTCCCTGTTTCTAGGCTTTTGCTTTGAAATACCTCCTCACTTGCCCTTTAGACTCTCGTTTTATTGAGCTGGAGCTATTGAGGCCCATTTGGTTTTGCCCTTGGGGTGGATCAGCAGCATAGATCTGCATTTCCAGGCAGAGTCCTAGGACTTGGCATTCTGTCACACAAACTAATATTAAATTATATTATAGCCTCTCTGGAGTGCAGTTTGTTGCCAGCACATAATACTGGGATCCCTGTCTATCACATGGATTCACCCTGTAGAATATTTCATTTAATTACTTGGAACTTGCCTGTTTCCCTAATCTAACGTACAGAAATGTTTTCTTACCACATGTCATCCTCCACCGCTTTCAGAGGCCAGTTATGCTCAGTATGCTTTTGAATTTCAGAAAATACAATATTGGCAAGAACACTATTTTGTGTTGTGAGCATCCACCTAACTTAAGAATTGTGTCATATAGCAAACAATATGTAGATTCTTTGACTGAAGGCATAACAGTAGGAGAGTATCAGTACCAAGAGATCTGAGTGAATGCACTTATTTTGTAAGGCTTCCTTTTCCCCAAGGCCGCTAAGAACTCAATGAAACTAGGATAGCTAAACAGACTTCTTCTGAATGTGGAATGTGCTGAGAGAAGTTACATGGATGTGAGTGAGGTAGGAAGGGGGAAGGCATAGAAAGAATAGTATGTGATGCAGTCTCCTTTCACATTGCTGCAGTTGAACGTTGTGCTGTATATAATTAGAAATATACATGTTTTATAGATTTATAATAGTGCCAGGTTTCACATATGATTTCACTGTCTGATTAACTTGGGCATTTTTAATATACTGGTTCCTTTACCAACCAGTGCCTCCACTAGTTTGTAATTTTCTCTTTTTTTTTTTATGATTGCAGGATTTCTGGGTCACTACAGTAGTGGGAGTTCTCTTTTTTGTAGCTTCCATTGTGTTTGCTGCAACCAATGACAAGTCATCTGTTGAAACTGTTGCAATTGTAAGTATCTGAAAACACCCTGGACTCCATTCCATGTTAAACCTTCACTCCTCTGCTCAAGGTTTAGAGGAAGGGAAGCTCTAGCCAGGTTGTGGGCAGAAAACAGAAGGCAATGCATTTGTTGAAGTAAGGATGCAGGAAGAGGTGGCTACCTTAGGGCTCCTAAGACCTGGTACATAAACCTCTGCTACAACAGAATATGGGAGATCCACATGATGGGCACATTCTACAGCTGTGGTCTTCATAAGGTTTGCTGGAAGCTCAGTGCACCCTAGGAGCTCCATAATATTGTGGATGCTAGGAAAAGCTCTTAGTCCCCTCAGTTAGCTTTGCAACCTTGGTCCTGTGTTTTCTGGCCTCCCCATGGGTCACTATCCTCATTTCACCCTTCCTTCTGACCTTGGCCCCCAAGATTCTACACCTTTTCTGTCAGACTCACCAGGTTTTGTTCTTGCTTTCTCCACAACAAAGAGACACCCGTGACTGGCCCATGCCAGCTGACTCAGGCTCGCGGGGCTTGGGCTGCAGTGCTGTTTCATTGCTGTGTAGATGTCTGGACTTGGGCTGGAGCCCAGGCTCTAGGACTCTGTGAGCTGAGGCCAGAGGTGGAGAGGGAATGAGGCTGGGCTGGAGGCAGAGCAGGGGTTGGAGTGGAGCTGAGGCTGAGATCCGAGCTGGTCTGAGGGCAGAGTGGGGCTGGATGGCGCTCCCTCCCTGCCCCCTCATTGGGGCTGGCCCAGGCCCTGCCACACGCCCCCCCCCCACCGAATGTTCCTCCACGCCCCCATATGGGTGCGCACACCCCAGTTTGGGGACCACTGTCCTAGGGACTCTAGAACATTCTCGTAAAGGCTGAGAGGGGAGTGGTAACAGACATACATCTGGGGAGTCAGTTATAGCAGGGAGGATACTTGCAGAGTTCAAGTGTGAATATTCAGAGCATCTAGGAAGCTATACGGTACCAAAAATAGTTAGACGAGCAACAGGGCATGTAGCTCACAAGGAACACTGGAGGTTCTGCAGTTCTGGGATGCATGTGGAGAAGTCATAGTGTCTCGCTTCTCCAGCACGCTCTTTAAAGAATCTTCATATTATTTCTGTGCTAAATTATAAAGCATCAAAATCAAAGAACATTCTTCTTTAATAAAGATTCATTAGAAAAATAAAGAACTCTGATCCTATAATCAGAATGATCTTAGAATTTACAAGAAGAATACGTTTATCTTCTGTAATATTCATTTGTGTCACAAATATTAACGCAGACACTTTCATGGCTCCTCCTCCTTCCCTCCCCCCCAGAACAGGGAGATGGAAGAATTCTTTCACTCTTAGATCTAATTGTTTATATTCTATTGTGTTGGCTCAAATCAACTGTATAAAACGTAACCCTCTCAAACTTCACTGAATCCCATTAATGCTCAGGCACCAGTTTGACTCATTTTTAGTTGGCCTTGACTATATCTTTACTATGCTACTGCCTCACCCAACACTTTAAAAAAAAATAGCATTAATCTCTGCTTCTAAGCTAGTATGTAAAAAGTTTTTAGTCTGAATTCCTTGCAGTCAAACAGTAAGGACCTGTACCATGCACACCTGATCCAAGAAATAAAAACTATAAAGTACAAAACATGTCACTATTATGATTTCTGATCTTTCTGTTAAGAACTGAACCACTGACTTCAAAAGACTGGAGACTGAATGTATATAGAAATACTACAGTAAACTGGGAGGGGAAGGGTTGCACGAAGAAGATTGCTTGTTCTCTTGCTTCAGGTTCTCAATCAAAGTTGGAATAATATTAATGTTTATGTATACATTTTAAATAACTGTTTCTTTCACATTCACAGGTGTTTGGCTTTTTGGCAAGTATAGGATTTCTAGCTGATGGTATTCACATGTTTATGGAGAAACGGAGAGGGAAGGAAAATAAATCCGAGAACACTGGCAACACACAGAACACACCAGAAAATCAGCCGCTGAATAACCAAATCTAAACTTTAAAAAAGTCCTTTGATTTCTATGAGTTAAATTAATCAAGATGAAAAATGTTCATTTCCTTACTTATTTCACTGCATTGAGGGTAACTTTGTCTTCTCTCTCTTTTGCATCTAGCCAGCTTTGTACAAGTCTGACCCAATCATAAGCTTTTATAGACTCTTAATTTTTTTAACAACAGTATGTTGAGCATCAGGGTTTGTACAATTCTCCATCTAACTTGTCCTGACTAATAACTGTTAGAGGGACATTCTAAAAGGAAGAAATTGCCTCCAAATAGATTTTTTTATTTAAACATAAAATAGACATCAGTAACTGAAAGCACTGAGACTTCTGAGAAGAATGACTGTAATACAGGCGAACTCATCAGGCTTAAATTCTGAGTTATGTTTTTAAAATATTTAAATTTATGTAAATACAGCGGGCTAGAATTAGAATTCTGTTGCATTAATTCACACCTACCTATGTTGGTGATATCTGGCTTCTTGCCTCTGATACTAAGAATGACTTAGTACAATAAAATCCCTTCCTTGTTTTATCGGTTAAACTGAATGTAAAAGGGAAACTAAATTTTGCAATCTCATAGAGGTTTCTATCCCCAAATGAGTTGTTCTTTACTTTGATTTTATCTTGTGTGTCTTACTCCATACTTCTAGATTCTGTTTTGTGTCTCTGAAAGTCACTGCTCTTTTTTAAAGGCAGTTGGTAAAACACATACAGCTAGCTTATGTGTATTTGATAGTCAAGTGGTATATCATAGAGTGACCTTTGCACTCCATATTTGTGGAAGTTTAAAGCTGTAAGTGATGCATTCTTTAAAAATATCGTTAAACCCATTAAAGAAAGAAGAAATTTGAAAATTAGCCTTAAGAGGAAAGGTTAAGAGGCCAATATTTTCAGCCTAGAGGAAAGAATACTGAGAGGAGACTAACTGCCTACAAACAGGTAAAGGGATATATTTTTTTAAAAGAGGGAGCAGGGACCAATTAATCCTTTCAGTTCACGAGGGCAGACAAAAAGTAATTAGCTTAAGCTTTGCCAGGAAAAGTTTTCATTAAAAATAAAATAATGAAACGTTGGCACCGTTGCAGTGCACAGAGGGGGAAGGGATAGCTCAGTGGTTTGAGCATTGGCCTGCTAAACCCAGGGTTATGAGTTCAATCCTTGAGGGGGCCACTTAGGGATCTGGGGCAAAATCAGTACTTGGCCCTGCTAGTGAAGGCAGGGGGCTGGACTCCATGACCTTGCAAGGTCCCTTCCAGCTCTATGAGATATATGTATATATATGGAGATATACCTAAGATGAATGGTCATGAAAGTTGATTATTGTTTGTCCTTGCTCCTGCATGCAGCTCAGTTGGTGACTGGATAAATAAGTAAGCAAGCAGTTGTATAAACTTCTAGACTTAAGACAGCAGCCCCTGGGATGAAAACGGAAGCTATTAGTGAGCAGTGGGTTAGGCACAAGCAGTGCAAGGATGCAAAAGACCAGACAGGTTGAGTCACATATGCAGGGCAGTGGTGAAAACGCATTCTTCAGATGTTTGAAGGGTGGGATTTTTTTGCTGGTTGGGTTCTTTTTTCTCTGTGGAAGGGGAAAATGAGAGTCTTACACCTGCAAGGGAGGGCTATGTAAGCAGGATAAATTGTAGTAAACTTCCAAGAGAATATGAGGCGCTCCAAGTATATATTTAACAAAAAAAACAAACCCCAAAACACCAGTATCTTAGAGGCCTCATTATGTAAAAGTAGTTTGTTGTCTGACTTTCCACGATACTTGCCATGTCTTCCATGATTTGAGACTATTAACATCACTTTCCCAAAATGTATTATGTCAAATCAACAGCCCTTTAAATCATTGAGGCGGCACTGAGACTAAACCCTCTAGGAACAGGTTGTCTTTTACCCTCGCCCTATTTTGAGGACAGAGTAGTAAGGGATTTAAAGTATTGTAAGTGAAGTCAGAGGCTTTTTCTAAGGCTGCTACTTTCTGATGATCATACATAATATGGTTGTAATGGTCTCCCTTCGTTAAATGTGTCAGCTCCTGAAGGGTTGAACCTGTTTGTGAAGGAAATCTGACACTAACACTACATTTTGCTGAAGGAACGCCGTTAGGTGGTGTAGAGCAGCAAGCTTAGCCTGAAGCTTACATTCAGAATAAATATACGCTTTCTTTAGTGAAATTTCCTCATTTCTGAATGAAATGTGCTCTTCCTTAAGATGGACATATTTATTTTCTCTGTACATCTGTACTTAAGGACCTACTGTCTCCTCACATGTTGCCGTCACTGGTAGTTATGTGCATGATAAGAGAGATACCTTTAAGGTACCTTTACAAGCAATACCCCTGAAAATATAAAACTTCCCAGTGTTGGGGATCTCCGTCATACTGTGTAAGTCCTTCATTTAGAACCACTACAATGAATATCATCAATCTTTGGCTCCATCCTGTTTTGTTAATTTCTCTGTGCATGGTTTTTACTAGATTTTTACTTGCTTTTTGCATCAAAAGTAGCTATAAATCTTGATTTTAAAAATAAAGACCTTGCTATAAGTAGAAAGTAGCATTCAGTCCACCCCCTTGCTATGTCGGGACTGTTCCCTGCAGTGTGTGTTCCTAACGTGTTGTCCAGTTTTAGTTTTAAATGTCCCAAGCAATGGGGCTTCCACCACTCTCCACAACAAATGGGTGACCTCATACAGATTTGAGTGTCAACTTATTTGTTTCTAAAATAAGAGGCTGAAAATGCCCTTTTCCAATAGAAAGGAATGAAAAACATTTATCAACTATGTCATGAAAAGGGAACGGATAATGTTTAGGAACTAGTTAGCTCTATTTTCTAATCTGCCATAGGCGTTCTCTGGGAGATGCAAGGCCCACTGCCCTCAAAAGCACACCCAGTTCTTGTCAGACTCGCAGTCTCTCTCCTGTGGCAATAGAGTGCTACCACTAGACCAGCCTGGAATTGGGTTCAGGTGAGTTTATGCACATCGTAGTGGACATACAGAACTGGAATTACTAACTTAAAATGGTGTGTGCATGTGTGGTGTTGGCATAAGTTTTATGACCATGATGTTGGTCTAAAACTCTTCATTTTTGTTTAAAAAGACTTTGGGATTACAACTCTTGTTTGAGTTTCTTTAAGTGAACCTATGAAGACTGAGCATGTAACTTTTTCATAGATATTTGGAAGCAGTTTTTACAAACTACCATAGAAACCATATAAATAGAAGAGAGCTGGATGTAAGTCCTTCAGAACCCAGCCACACTTGTACGTTGGCTGGAGTGAGAGACTTTATTGCTGTAAAAATAGTTTTGAATTTTTTTCACACTCTAAAAAATATCCTATTTGATGTTTTTTTGTCACACTCAACTCTTTGCCTTTTTTTTTTTTTAAATTAGGCTTGGTCCCAAAAGTGGAGAGGGGCAGTTTTAAGCAGGATTAAATGTTCCTGCAAAAATTCTTGCTTAATCAGTAATAAAACCCGTGGAAGAGAGTAATTACTATAGGAAGCCTACCTGTGCATTGTGTCCTATCTCCAAGAGAGGGTCATCAGTAGTTGTCTATGGGATTATGGGCCTGCTGCCATCATTGTTGAGAGACTTAAACCTATTGCAATGGGTCCTTCCGACACCAGAAGCACCTGATGAGTCTTTATACCAAATTCCGTGGTGACAAAGCTTCCCAGTTTCACCCTCCACACCTGGAAAGAAGTGAACTATCTTGCACTATTCCCAGAGTCCTGCAAAAGATGTTTTGACATAACAGCACTTGCCATCATGTTGATTTTTAGTTCCATTCAAAGCACAGAAACCAACTCGTACAAGAGAAATACAAAATTTCCAGTAAAGGGAAACATTTTGTGAGGTTCTTTAAAAAGTATGTATAACTGATTGCCACAGGAAATTAGCTTGATAGTGTGCTATTTAAGATATAAAATTTATGTATAAACACACCTTTGAATATGTTCATTTGTTGCTGTACATGTGTAATGTATATCTAGATAATTTTTAACTGGCAAATTTAAATTGTATTTTCATTACTTTGAGATTTAAGGAGGGTTTTTTTTTATGTTTACTGGGTTAGGAAAATATAATGGTTGTATAACTATGTACAGTTCTTTGGCGTGTACTGCAAATGCCTTGAAATTCCAGTTGAAGTATTTCAAAATAGATAAAGAATTTTCCATTCTAAACCTGTGGCCTTTTAAATGTGCTATGCTTTTTTACTGGGTTTCTAAAATATTTTAATAATTTTAAATAAAATATTAGTAAGTAACTTGCTTACAATCTTTCTCATCTCATCTACTAATAATTTGGCATTAATAGCCACTTCTGCTAGAGGAAAATGAAGGAAATTGCTTCCTCCTTTGTTTCTAGTTAGGGTCATTTGCCATTTGATGGAGAGGGTTTCCGTTGTCCTTGGACTGGGGAGAAGTGTTCATCTTACAGTCTTACGAAGTTGGACATTTTCAGTGGATGTTCCCACAAATTATCTTCTGAAAGATGTTCAATATTTGTGACATTGAAAAATATTGTGCTAAAAATATTAAGAAGGCTCAGAAATGAAAAGGTAGCTGTAGGGATACATTTATCCTAGTTTAGAGAAGAATGATCAAACTACTCGGCTGGGTAAGATTGAAATTAGATGTCTGTTTTGAAAATGCTTCTCTAAGTGCTAAAAAAATTCTAAGTCAAATATGCAGGTTTTTGGGGAAATAGCTTTTTACATTTTTCTCCTATTTCTGTTTTCATTGTTCCGTAAGTTCCTTCCACTCCACCAAGTGTGTTTATATTATTGCTCCCATGTAATGGTGACAGAGATGCACCTTTCTCTCTAAGGCTTCTTTTTTACTTATTTTTTCGCAAACCATGTGAGCATGGTATAACTACGCACCTCTTTCTTCACCATATGCATTGAAATTAATATAAAGGGTGAAGTGTACCTCAGTTTTTGTATCATGACCAGAGGGGTGAAACCTGTCTCCGCTGAAAGTCAATGGGGCCTTGGTGAACATAGCATTCTGTTAGGGATTGCAGGGACAAAAAAAATTCTTGTAAATTTGAAAAGGGTTTAACTTGAGACAAGTGTGACTGGAACAATTAGCCACAAGCACAAGAAACAAGGCACAATAATGTAACGGAAGAGTAACACAGCTGTGGATTTATAGAAAATGAAGGTAACTAGAATAGTGGGAAGGGCAGTGCAGCTTGTTCATAAGTACAAAGTCCATATTACTGTTGACATAGTGAGACGCAGCAGGTCTTTGTCCCTGAGTAACTCCTGTACAGTCAGTGGAGTTATTCCAGTGTAACAAAGCAGAATATGCCTCTAATCTGTTGGCTCACTAGATAATATGCAGGTAGCACCTGTATGCTATGATTCATCCATCTGCAGTTAATTGCAGAGGTCATTTTCTTTAGGGTAGGAGGGAGAGCTTCCTCTTTAGAGCAAGGAGCACGACATGCCACCTACGTGCTCCTTTAGAGCAAGGAGCACGACATGCCACCTACGCGTTCATGCAATGCAGCCCATTCTTCCTCTCTAACACTGAAGAGTGGACACCAAGCAGATCAATCACATGGTTTTATTCCTAGTGAATTCAAAGGAGCAATTTCTCTTAATCTTTTAGACACATGGGAGACACAAATAGGTTTGTGTGTTAATCTGTCAACATTTCTCAGAATTATATTCAGGTTAGATGTGACCACCTGCTTCCTGGTAAGCTGCCAATGTACCCTCTGTTGTACAGGCTGGGCACAGCCATAAGGGTAAGCCCTAGGTTTCTTTGGACCCTATCTATATCCTTCTGTTTATGACGAGGTCCTTCCACCTCTGTGTAATCACAGCATATCCCACTTTTCACTATTCCTGTCTGTATGAGATCTTCCCTACTTCTGCAATTATGGTATGCTTACTTTCTCGCCCACCAGCTTGAGACTGTTAGTATGAGCCTGTCATGGCCACACACACACACACACACACGAGGTAAGTCAGGCCAGGAGATGAAGAGCAGCTCCTGGTGATGGTGGCTAGGAAATTCCCTGTCAGCTGAGGCCCACCGGTGTTGGAGTGAGATGAGACCAAAGATGAAGAAATGATGATGGTGACCAAGCTTGGGGGGTACGGAGTGTGTGTGACTGTGAAAGAGAAGTCGGTGGTTGGGTCATAGAGGCCTAAAGCCCTCAATATACTGTACCTATAAAATTACTTCTCCCCCTTTTGACTAAATCCATCTCTTGTAAAATCTATGGCTATTAATGTTTTGTCTTCCATTAATTTTCAAAAATGTGCTTTGGAAGACTCTTTACATGAGATTTCTGAAGGAGCCTGTGGGAATTAGGGGCACAAGTCCCACTGACTTTCAATAAGATTTGTACTCCTAAACTCTTCCTTCTTTATCTGCCTGTCCCCTGAGCAAGCCAGGCTTTCTCAGATCACTTATTCAGACTAGTCCCATGTATACTTTAATTCAGTCAATATACTACTAAGAATCTTCTTTCTTCCTCCTCAAAGGAGCTGGGCACTTGTGTGTGTGCTCCAAGCAACCAGAATAGCGTGGGCTCTCCCATTTCAAGAGGATGCTAGCTTTAGGCCTTTTTTGTAGTCTATGCAGCTGCCTCTATTTTGCTGGTAAAGATTGACAATTACCATTTGGTGTTGAGGAAGTGAGCTAGTTTTAAGTGCCCTATATTCTTCTTCTGTTGGCACAAAGGAGCCTTCTGCTTCAGGGGGGTTACTCACCCTCCAAATGTTAGAGGCTGCATGTACGCTCTGTCATTCCCTCTGTGCTGTGAGCCCAGGCCACTGTTTTCATAGGTTACATTAATAAGCCAGCAGAGAAAGCTGCAGCAGAAAAGTTTGCCCACAAGAGGGCAAAAGAAATCCAGCAATGAGAATTGTTTGGTATTAACAACTTTCCAAGTCCTCCCCTGCCTCCTAGTTTTAGTTTAACCTCACAATCCTTCTCTTGGTGAGTGTTGCTAAATGAGCATACTTGATATTTCACTAGTGCGAACTGATTTCTAACTTGCACCTCATTTCTCAGTATGGCCTCTAGGCCTTTTGAAAACAAAAGGCTCAGATCAATGATTTTCCAGGGAGGGTTTTCAGACCTGGGGGTGGGGAAGCTTTTTAGTTTCTGCCAGGTGAAAAACAAATTTTTTTTTTTAAATGGGATCAACTTGGGGATAGGACCTCCACTGTCTGTAACTATTACTGCACCTTCTGTGGTTTCATTCCCCACATTTCAGTAGAAACAGAGGTTAGCAGAGTCACAATGCACCATCTGACTTTTGTTTTGGTACAGTGATGTAGCTTTAGCCCTCTTCACCTTGTGACTCAGAAAAATTGCCATGACCATACAGCAGCCCTAATCACAGGGACGATGAGGTCATATGAACTAGTAATTCATTGACTGTAGGAGGGAAACAGGACCTGTTCTGCAGCAGAAAAGGCAGGCCTTTTTAATTTTTTTTTTATTAAAATCAAAGTCCCAGTGTGCGGGCTGGAGGGAGGAGAGGAATTTCCTCTTTGGCAGGCAAGGCCTCGTGCTATAGCACTCCTTTAGCTTGCTTTCCATCCCCCTCCCAGCTAGACTAATGCCTAGTAAATAGCAAATCAGATCCAATTTGGTTGGGTATTTATTACCAGATGGGAAAGGGCATTACTCAGCAATGACTTCTGTGTTGTATCAAATATGTGCGCGTTCCTGCAGCTGGGGTATGCTTAATAACTGCCATCAAGCCCCTCTCGCAAACCTACCTTAAGTGGAGTACCTGGTTCATAATGTGTTCTGCAGATGGCTCAGCAGTATAGACAGCTGGGCCTGGCACTCAGGTTTCTCACCAAGTATTTAATAAATGACACATCAGCAGCCAGAATTTGTGGCCAGTTACTTCCCATTGCTTGTCTTTAGCATATATGCATGTACACTCATGCTTTCTTGGACTATTTATACAAGCACAGGCAGGACATGAAATTCACCACGGTGTGCAGTTCAATCAGTGCCAATTGTGCAGACAGGACCCAGGTGTGCTTTACCCCAGTGTTTTCTAGCCCCATTCAGAATAGGGGGTTGGTTACTAAAAGACACCTGCCTCCTGTCTGCACTCCAGCCTCCATTGTTGCTTCCACCTGTGGTAGAACAAGAGTGGGAAAATGGCCCAAAATTCTCAATGTAGACACCTGCATGTTTGTTTCTGAGCTGCAGTTAAGCACCTGCTCTCTTATTTGCTTCAGGCTGGTAACTAAACCAATGATGTTGCACCAGTGTAACGAGCACCAGAGCTGTGTGTCTGCACTTCCCAGTCTGTTTGGCTGTAGGTATGCTTTGTGAGGTTGGAGGGCAGCAGAGTGAACACTTCCACTGGCTATCAGGCCCACAGTTCCTGAAGCAGTGGCTTATGGGAGATTTTAGCAAGCCTTTGGGGACCTCAAGGAAGTGTGGGAGCAGGGGTTTGACTTCCTGGGCAGCTTACCTGGGTTTCAGGTCATACCCTATACATGGAAGCCAGAAGCGTATTATATCCATTTTTATTTATAGTAATACAGCAGTAGGTAGAATTATATACACAGGCCAGAAGGCAATGAGTGATTGATACTCAGTTTGAGATAAGCCCCTCCACCATTATTCAGTAATGTTTATGAGTCAACAAAATGATGTTCCTAGCTTAATAGGGTTTGGACCTAACTGTAAAGCTCTCATGTCTGACAAACTACTGAACAGCAGGTATGAATGGAGTTCTTTGGCACCCCTATATCTTTAATTGCTACAACTTCAGCACTGTGTGCTTGTTTTGGTCGTGGTTCATGAAGAAGAAAGCCATGCATGAGTAGAGGACCGGAGCTGGTCTAAACTCACATTGGCATAGCTACATCTCAGCGTGAAAAATTCACATGCCTGAGAGCACATAGCTATGTCAGCCTAACCCCTCCTGTAGACCACACTAGGTGGATAGGAGAATTCCTCTGTCAACCTAGCTACCACCTGTTGGGGAGGTGGATTAACATGCGGTACTGCACTAAGTGCCTGCACTACAGGTGCACAGCTGCCAGGCTGTAGCATTTTAAGTGTAGACAGAGCCTTAGAATGTCTCTTGCTGGTAGCCAGAGCCTTTAGATAGGCATACACTATCCAGCTTCTGTTCCAGTATGCTGAGCTCTTCTGGATCATTGATGTACTGCTAACAGCAGCTGGTGATGGGTGCTCAAGGCTCAAATAGGCCCCCTCTCCATGAAAGGCCTACAGGCTTGTTAGCTTTAACGGTGCCAGGCTG